CGTAAATCTCACAAAGAAATGCCAAGAAATTTTATCGTTTGACACAACACAAGGTAATAGAATTTTCTGACATTTTATCCTCTTAGATAAAAGCAATGTTGTTAATAAACTACAGTACACAGTGGAGGTTCTAATATCAGCATACCAAAACAAAGATTGCAAAACAAGAAAACATAAAAAAGCCTTAAGAGAACTCACTAAAAACAAATTTATCATATGAATTATAACTGGGAAGGAAAAATTCTCATTGATAACACAATAATTACAAAATCTTGTTTTATAAAGATGTTCCACATTGCAAAACTGAAAATATGTCCACATTCTGAGCAACACTAAGCAAAACAGAACTTTTTAAATAAACCTTTTCAAATATCTCTACTGTAATATATAACTTTAGGTTACTATTCAGTAAATGTTGATGAAATCTAACAGAGTACTTTTAAAGAAAAATAATCTTTAAATAAATCTGTAAAATTTTAAAAAGGTATCTCATAAATACTCCTTGCCCCCAATGAAATAAATATTTTATTTTCTGGGGGTGGTGGCGGAGGGGGGGTGGTGGGGTTAAGATGCCTATATTTTATGACTGCTTAACTCTATTAGAAATTTATTTACCTATTAAAAGCTAAATGAAAACTGTATCAAACAAAGTTCATGCTACATTCATGGCTGATACCTTGTAATGACAGTGCCCGGCACATTAAACAATTCTCCCTCACTTATGAATGGCTGTACTGTTCTTACTCGGTAAGTGCTGCAAGCCTCATTTCTTGACCTTGCTACCTCTACATGTGTCAGGACAACAAAGCAAACATTCTTTGGAGCATCACTTTAAAAATTACATGAGCAGAGAAATAAATACCCTCAGGCATCAAAAAAAAATCCTTCAGTATTTTTTGTAAAAGAATCATAACTTCTGAATAAGCAAACCAAAAACAGAAAAGCAGAATCAGGACAACCCCAAAGTCATCCAAACCAACCTGGTAACTGGAGTTACTTTTCTTTTTCTATGAACATATTTTTAAATACTGCAGACATGACCATGTTCTACAGCAGCACCCTAACTCCCAGAGGCAAAGATAATGTTTAGCCAAGCAGTCCAAACATGCATATGGAACATCCACCCACAAAAGCAGCTGATGGTAATATGCACATTTTTATCCTTTCTATACAAGCACATGGCTATCTGATTAGCAGATCTGAAAAGCATTTCAAACAGCAATGTTTTATCAATTGTTGACAATTGATAAGCACAAGGTAACAGAAGCTTGAAAATAATCAGAAATCAGTAAAGCAAGCACATGGCTGGACTATAATAAAATAACGTTGACAAGACAGTCTATGCTATTGTACAGAGAATTAAAACTTACCTAATGCATTTTCATTAAAAAATTCTTGAATTCATGACATGTTCATGTTATTTTTTTCATTAAAACATATGTCCTATGACAATGTATTTTATTCACATACTTTTAAAAAACACATAAAAACTTATTTCAATCTGGGCTTTTCCAATAAACCTTAATCATGCTACAAATTTCATCAATAATATGAAGAAACACAATGTAGAGAAAACTTGTCTTTTTTTATCATGTCAACATGAAATTATCTAATTTCAAGGTTATCTCAAAAGTGGAAAAGATCACCTGAAATATCAAGAACTTCATCTCAATTAGCAATATCTATGCTGAACACAATCAAGAATTACATCAACTTTGGCAAAATCAGTGGTGTAGTTTTTAAGTTACAAGCTTAAACCAGTGGCACATAAGCATTTTCAAATGAGCAACAGTACAATAACCTTACTTGTTCACAGAAAATCTGCAGTGACTACCAGCAAGCAAATATATAATGGCATTCCCAACACACTTTGATTACAAACGAACTTGAATAGGATGAAAAACACAACATCCAATGTTAAAAAGAAGCTTCTACCTCTAAGTGAAAGCCAAAGTCATCACTAAGTGCCAGCAAATTAACATCTTGAGAAAGATGATTATTTACTCAACAAATATTGAGTATCTGCTGAGTACCGGGAGAGCTAGGTACCTGCTCTTAAAGAGCTCTAGAGCAGCAGAAAGACAAACAAGGACAAAAATTACAGTATAATAAGGTAAATGCTAAGGAGATCTATCCACACAAGACTGAAGAACCCCCATGGTACTTGAAACAAATGCATTAATTTACATCCAGGTTGGGAATGATGAGGGATACAACGATCACTTTTCCAGAAATGCAAGTACAGTGGTGGGCTCTGTTCCATTAAAAGAAACCACCAGAGGGTTGTGGCTACATTAGTAGCCTTCACAATCACTCCCCTGCATTTAATCAGTTATATCATGAATCTGCATTGCTTGAAAAGCAAGTCATTAATATCTAGAGATTAAACAGCTATGTTTGACCTTATAATGATGGAATTTCTAAATGTTAATCTTACTTAAAAACAGATACTGTTACATTTCATTAATTCAGCTTCTTAAATATTTGGAAAACATTTAGGAACTTGGAAGGTAGCAAAACAGTACATTAGCTTGGCAAAATAAATGTCAACATATGCTCCCTAAAAATATATACTTAATATACAGGAAAGCTTAAATTCACTCAAAATGAATACACCTATATTTTAGAGATGGTTCTAATAAGCAAGCAAGAACTAGACTATAAGGGAAGAGCTGCCACAGATAAACCAGTTCCAAGTAATGATTGACAGGAGGGAAGTGATTTAAAGAACGGTGAAAAGAAATTAACACTAAATGTATAGTCTGAGACCCTTCAATATAGAGCTGATTTGATAGGTAAGAACTTAAATAGAAATATGGTCCATTTATTTGCCTTTTCCTTCGTATTCAACTTGGGAATTCCTTGTAGGTACTTTCAATACTAAGATGGTTCACCAGTATTTGTAATGGTGAACCTTTTTTCTCTACAGAGGACCTAGTAAACGAATAGGAGAGGGTTGTATTTAGAAGAAAAGGAGATTATGTTTTTCATTTCAATGTTCTTTTCTCTTTAAAGAAATTGGGTTTTTGTTTTGTTTACTACACATACTTAAAGACCTTTAATATATAATATTCTGGGAAGACTAGCATTTTGAAAAATGTGAAATGTTGTTACAATAATAAGTGTAATTAAAATGCTGTTCAGAGCCATGGTACAGGAATTTCATCTCTCAAGGTACCTAACAACCGATAGCAGCTAAGTCACTCCTTGGGAGAAGAATATCTTAATGAATGAATTCCAAATGTCTGCTTAGAGGAGATGTTTTATAGGTCTGCGTTGGCAGATTCCTCTGGCACAGAGCCCATATTCAACGGGAGTTGAAATCCAAAGTTTTTTTACCCTCTTTTTTCTTTTGACTGCAGCACAAACATTTTCAGTACTTTCAAAATGGTATAAATATTTTCAGGGCTTTTGACAAGCAGCAAGGAGAAAATTAATTTCCAGGTGTCCCCATTTTGTTCCCTAACTCTTCATTCTGACATCTGGCTTAGAAGAACAGAATCTTCTCTGAAGGAGCAGTGGGGCTCTGTCAGCAGTTTCCCTCTCCACTACTGCCTCCACTTTGTGGAGGAACAATTGTCACACACAGTGCAGTTATATTACCTCACATCCTTTCCTCAGATTAGGTAGAAAATGCCTCTGGAGCTGAAAATTTCAGCCTAGGTGTCCTTCACTGCACTAAATTGGGATGTTCATAGAATAAACTTTCAAAGGATATACTTTAAACAGAAGGTGATGTTATCCACCTTTGACAGGCATGAAGATTATGGGTAATACCAATTATTTAGGAAAAGTTAACCTCATGTCAAATGAATATTTATTACTCTCCCGGATTTATTGAACAATCAAAAATTTCAAAAGATAGCTCAGAAGGTTTAATTTTCACCATGTGTGACCACTGTATACTCAATGGCTTGCAAGAAGACAACTTCATGCAAAGAAAATATTCTATATCACATGGATAATTGTGTACATATGTGACAACTCCACAGTTATTTTATATTGTAACAAATCTCTTTTTCACTCAAGTAATATCTAAGGGCTCTAAATTTCTGGCTAAAACCAAAACCCAAAAAGTAATGAATAAAAATAAGACAGAATCATTATAAGTAAACACTGTGTGGAATACCCACACAAGGGAATTCTATTTGGCAACATAAAGAAATGAGGTACTGCTATACCATGGGTTTAACTTGAAAAAATGATGCTGAGTGAAAGAAGCCAGTTATGACAGGTTACATATTACATCACTGCATTGTTTATGCACTGTCCAGAGGAAGCAAATCCAGGGACACAGAAAGTAGGTTAGTGGTTGACAAAGGCCAGGGGGAATATGGGAAATGACTGTTAATGAGTAGAGGATATCATTTCAGGGTGATTAAAATGTTCTAAACTTAGAGCTGTGTTATAAATTAGACACTGGTGGTGATTAACAACTTTGTGAATACACAAAAACCACAGAATTGTACATTTGACAAGGGTGAACTTTATGTCATATGAATCATATCTCAATAAAGCTGTTAGTAAAAAGAAAAAAAAAGAGGCTGCATAGCTGATTCATGATGCTCATGTAGAGGAGTTCTAAATATAAGATAACTAAATTTCCAACCACATTCATTGGCACTCTGAATTTTATCACAGTGAGCTCATCTCTATATCCTGGAGTTTATCTCTTGAGCCTGCAAAAGCGTTTTGCCTTAAGTACTCATTTTCAGAAACACAATCTCCTCTTATAAGAAAGAGTCAGTGAGTAATGGCAACAAGGAGCAAACTGCCATATACTGTTCTTTTTTCATAAACTGCTTTCTATTGAGCTAATGTAATTTATTAAGCAAAAGTGTAATTCCAAGGAAATATTTGGTTAGCCTAATGTTTGGCAACCCCAACAGAATTTTTCAGGTAGGTATTTAATTCACAAGCAATCACAATATCAAAAAATGTAGATATTTGGCAATTGTCAATCAATAAAAACAGAAAATGCTGTAAATACAAATACTGACCTTGTTTCTTTTAACCCTTCTTTCTGAATGACTTCCAATATCTGCTTTGCTGTCATTGGTGAGTTTGGGTGCTTTTCTAGTGCCTAAAAAAATAAAGATAAACATAAGATCCTGATTACTTTATGGAAGCATAAAAAATGAATATGCATGTGAATCGCACAAATTTTCTTAAAATTTTAAAGGGAAGGGGTTGTTAATGTCAAAATAAGGTCCCATCACAAAGCTCAGGTGTCCAAATGAGTATGCAGCTTTTTTTCTGGACATTTATGGCAATTTCTGCAACATATGGGAGGCCATTCTTCAAAAAAATATCACAAAGGCATACATACACAAAAAAAAAGGAAAAGGGAAAACAAGTTAAAATTTCCTTTATTAAAAATCACTTATATTTTATAGTTAGAGACATTTTCAGGCTGTTAAGATGTTTCCTAAATGTCCAGATCCTAGGAAACATGGAGCCTGAATACTATCAATAGCAGAAGGCAAATGGTCATCAGAAATAACCTCCCTGGATTCATATTTCCATGAATATCTTTTGCATTAAAAAAAATGAGGAAAAAAAATCCTTCATGGCCAAAATATGAAAGAAGCATACAGAAGCCCAAAGTACTCGTTGCAGTGTGTTTTCCAGTTCAGCTCAGTTTCCTTTCTTTTGCCTTTTCTAATTAACTTCCAGTAAACCCCTTCATCTTCCCATTCAGCCCATCTCAGTTTATAAACTGAGTCCCATTTTCTTTCTCTCCCCTTTTATCCTGTGTGTGTGTGTGTGTGTGTGTGTGTGTGTGTGTGTGTGTGTGTGTGTGTGTGTGTGAGGGAATTCTTTTAAACAAAGTATGGGTTATACCTGGGATACAGTTAATTATTTCCATAGTCATTAGACCATCCGCCCTGGAAATCATATTCCTTTACTCGTCTAGGGACTTAACTACAAATAAGGAAAGAGTTAAACAACAGTGTCCACACTGCTCACCAACATGGACCACGGGGAGCACCTTGGGTACAAAAAAACAGTCTTCAAGCAATGACCTTCTCCAAGGGTAGACGACTCCTATAAAGATGCTGCAGAGTAGATTCTTGCACAAGTCATGGCTTCATGCCACTTAAAGTTTCTTCCTATAGTTTTAGTTTCTGATTATTTACTGGGATAGTCATAATTAGAATTAACAGGGTCACTCTAAAAACTAAATGTTGAAAAGACTTCCACCTCTGTTCAAAAGCTTTTGATCTCTTATACTATATATGGCCAAATTTCAACTAGCCCACTAGCAAAATTTATTTCCTCAAAGTCCTTATATCCAGCCTGCCCCACCTTCCCATTAGGGCCACTTTCCTGTTCTCCTCCTATCTGGTTCCTCTACTCACCCAATTTTCCAAATCTGGATGAGCCCCATAGTCATAGCTGGTAAGTTTTTTAAAGAATACAGAAATTGGAGCTACACTAGAAAGAGGGTAGAGCAACAAATATGTCCGTAGGAAAGAAGGAAAATCATCCCCACAGAGGAGGGCCCTGGAGAGCTGAACTGTAACTGGGGAAGGGGAAAAAAAGAAACATAGGCAATAGCTGTATAGGGAAGAGGACTAACATGTAAAAATACTGGTTTTAAAAAAAAAGGCAAGAAGGAAACTGCATAATAGAGCTGAAAAGGGGAAAAGATTAGATCACAAAGAAAGGCGAGAAAGAAATAGACATGAAAACAAAAAAGCTGACAGCGTTTTTAAAATAAGAACTGTAAGTAGAACAGTGCATACTCATGAATTACTGAGAGGAGAATTACTGTGGTCACATGGAGTAGATAGAGTGGGCATCACCCCAAATGATAGGCAATGCTGGAAACACTAATGGTCTCTCATAAAAGACATGGGCAGAAGGTCGATAGACACAAACATACACAAGTAAGCAAGCAAGGAAGAGGAAAACTGGCAGGGAGAGGCACAGGATGGCAGAAGGAGGGGGACAGTGGAGAAGGGAGAAAAAGGAGGAAAATTGAGCTGAACTGGGAATGTCCAAAGGCAAACTGATTAAATCTAGAAAGGGCCGAAGAGGAAATTCCAGTGTACTGGGCAATGTTTTCATGGAAATTTGGGTGCACTCGAAAGTGGGGTTACTCACTGTGGAGGATTCCCTGTTTCTCTTCCTGAGTACAGGCCCCTCAGCACACCTGGGCAGCTCCTCCCAGCAATTGAGAGAATTTGGATAGCCCTGTCCCCTTCTCTATGACATCACATCCTACTCTACAAAGGAAGTAAAAGTGCCAAGAATTACATCATGAAGTGGATGAGAGGCAGGAAGGAAATGATGAAGCCACACAAAACACCAGAAGCCACCCTCAGTTCCTGCAAGACAGAGAAAGGAGACAGAAGGAGAGATTCCTGGGTGTGAACTTCACTGAACTAACTATGTGAACATTAATAGGACAATAGTTCAGGAGAAATTACCTTCACGGAACAAAACACTGATACCATCAAAATAATGTGACAAATGGCAGAGACGAATCAGACTCGCAGGCAGCCATATGCAAACACGACAGCAGGAAGAAGCCACATTCAGAGTGAAATGGCATCCTAAACTACGAGGCCCAGACTTTAGAGCCCCTTACCCCAAAAGTCACTTGGCCATAAGGCATACAGTTTCATGCACTCTCCAAAATTAGATTCTTTGTATTACACTTCTTGACTTTACCAGATTCAACTGGTATTTAAATGTTATCATGGTTAGGTAGTGCTTAACTTCAACATACCCCTCCAGTCTTTCTCCACATAATTTGAATTCTTCAAAACAGGCATCCTAACACTTTGCTGGGAAAAGCATTAGCATTATTTCAAAAACTCAATTAACAAAAATAAATTCCCCAAACACTACATTGAGTGCAATATTCTTAGAGTATTATTGAGTCAAAGAATGTGAACTCTGTCGAGTCTCTTGATACACTGCCAGTTGTTTCTAGGATAATTTCACAATTTCTACTCTTACCAAAAACTGAATCTGCCTCTCTCACTACAATTTCACAAGTATTAAACATCACGAATATTTTAGTAATACTTGCCAGCATGGTAGGTCAAATAAGCAGTTACTCATTGTTATTTTCATTATATTCTAAATATTAACAAGGCTAAAGTTTTTTTTTCAGATTGATCAAATAGGACATGAGGACGTGACAGGATATTTCCATTTCCCTTACTTATGTGTAAAAAGCTCACTGTTTTGCATAGTAATAATAGGTATTTTTCCTTTTGTTGATTATGCTTTGGAAAGTTAGGGTGACACACAGTTTTCTTTGGATGAGCTACACCAGCAGGTTTTTCCATTGTTGACACTATTGCACTTATGTTTACAAATTCCTTTAATTCAGAGAGCATGTAAATGTCCACAAATATTTTTTTCATCTTTTTATGTCTTTATTTTTTAATTCATCTGTACTTTATTTTTCTGTACCAAAGTGATGCACTCACTTAAGTCCCCACATCCTATTAGTAAGTGAAGTTTTCCTAACATGATGTTTCATAAGCCATTTGCAGTTGGTGAGTTGACAGCTACCACATATCAATGCTAGGGCAATGAGAGCATTTTTGATTGAGGGACCAATATATAAATATGGGAACACAAAATATAAAATGCACAAAAGTAGAGTTGACCTTGTTAAAGCAGAAAGGAGAATGCCCAGGGCCCCCAGACTTTATTCCCTCTTGGGGCTAAAAGGCACATTTGGGAGACTGCAGGGTTCTGGAACAAACTGAAACTGTCCTTGGGGCTCCTCCAGAGGTCCTGCTAGGTGTCCCTGATCATTCAATCAGTGACTGGGCCACTACCACGCTGCTTTAATCGCTGCACTATTATAATACACATCATTATCCAGATAGGACACTGCCCTCATTATTCCTGCTTAAATTTTTAATTGTTCACATCATTATATTTCTAGATGAAATTTAGATAGGAACTAAATGAACATCTAATTAAATTTTTAAGAAATTTACACACATTATTCCATGTCTTTATTTTATTTTATCAACTGTAATAAGCTTTTTATTATGTGTTTTATATGTGTGGTTGCAAGTATGAATAAACTTCCATGTAATACTCATTTTATTGCTAATGCACACAAAACTGTTGATTTATTTTAATTCTCTATTGAGCAGCTTAATTGATTTCTTAAAAGATCTAACAGTATAGAAACCCAGAATCATTATTTTCTACAAATAATTTTAATTTTGCCTCTGTACTAATAGCTTTGTTTTCCTTCCTATGTTATTTACTTTAAATAGACTCATTTTTCATCCCCTTTCAATTTTTTTTTGCTAAAAATTGAGCTTTTTATCATTTATTTTCCCCCAAACAAGCTCCTTCAACATGCCAAATTGCCCTAAGAGTATCTGTATCTGGAGTCATTTGAATTAGCACTGCCAAAAGAAACTTGTAATTATAAGCCACTGACAAGATAGCACTGTCTCTTCTATACAAATCAGAGTCTGTCACAGTGTTCCCTCTTTACATAAAATGTCTTCTCCTCCTTTGTCAGATTGTATGATTCTCCTGTATCCTTCTCCCTCTCCTCTGACAATTGTGTCTTACACCTCCTCACTGAAGTCTTTTCAGCTGTCCACCACCATCTTTCTTTTGCACTGATACTCTCCAACAAGTTTCAAATTCAAGGCAGTTCTCTAAAAAGAATTTTCATGACTAGGGACAAAAACACATACCATCAGCCACCTTCCTGCAATAGATTTCTTGAGCTTTTTGAAAGACATGCAAAGATATACAGAAATGCCAAATGCACCACAGGATTTAACCGCCTTTACAGACTGTATCAGGACCTATTTCGAAGATAGCTATATTCATGCAAATCTGAAGCAAGACAGCCTCATTCCACACAACTTCTACCCCAGATTTCCATATATCCTAGTAAAAGGAGGGGAAAACCTGTAAAAAAAAAAAAAACCATGGATAATGATAGAGTTAAGAAAAGGGAAGAGATACCAAATCACTACAGCCACAGGTCAGTTAAGAATGTATTTTTCGAACCTCCCCAGTGGTGCAGCGGGTTAAAGCACAGCACTAAGA